TGACATTGATTCAATGTTGTTTCAATCATTCTGTGCTATCTGGGTGAATACTGCAACCAAGTTTTAGTCTGTTAAAATAACTGCAGCACTGAAGCTTGACTAAATAACATTGCCGCTAATCTTTAAGATTTTCAGGAGTGTCGTAAAACAGATTCTTAATATTTTAATCTATTTATTTTTTTAGGTCAAACAGAAACGCAAAAAGCAAGAGAAATAAAATAGCTAAAATTCAACGTCCTCACAGTTTAACTGATAGTTCCACTGCTGCCATACTTAGCTTCTTATCATTGAGGCACAATAATATTTCTCCACACCCTACGTTGCTAAAATACTCTTAAGAAACATTTTTCAAAAGACAACATGCAATGAAGTTATATAACGATGATGCTTACTGCTGCGCTGCGGCCAGGAAAGTTGAAGAAGATGTCCGGGCCATGTCTCTGCGGCATCTGATTTAACACCGACAGCATTTTGATTGCATGCTTTGGCTGTACGCGTGTCAAAAGAGAGAATTACAACTTTTATTGTAACAGATTATACCCGGCGACAGGAAATTTAACTGACCCCGACAAAACAAGACAGATTCATCAAGCCCTTCAGTTGTCGTGTCACTTACCCAAAGGCCACCTTCTCCTCGGAGCATGCTGAAGAGCAACTTCAGTTCCTTCACTGTGATGCTGTAGCTGGCCAGTACACCCAGCATATCCACCAGTAAGTCTTGCAAAAGACAATGCAAGCAGACACACAAACAAAAGGAAAAAATAGTCAAAAATGAAGTTGAATTTTAAAGATACAACTAATCCCCGTTGGAGAGGAGATCCTCAAGGGGACGTGCTAATGCTGCTTATCCTGAGACATGGCTCCCCTTTAATTTGCTGTTGGACTTTGTTGGTGAAATTAAATTACATAAAACACAAAACCTATCAGCAAAAATCACACATAGTGCCTGTATCAATGTGATAAACTCCCTAATTAAAAGTTAAAGTAACATAGCAGAGGAAGTCTAGTTTTATTTCAGATCTTAAACACATTTCAGCTAACACAAAAGAAGCCATTTCCATTCATTTCACAGAGGATCAAGAAAGAATTCACAGATCTTCCCTCTTTCCACATTTTTTGATACGTTACAGTCTTATTCCCATTTGTATTAAATTAGTCTCTTCTACTCACAAATACTCCATTATGACGAGGTGGACAATTTGGGGGGGGGGGGGGTTTTGTAATTTTATTATAAAAAGAAAACCAATAAATCACCTGCTGCTCCACATTCAGCAGCAACTACTGCATCAAGTCTTTTTGAATATGATGCCGCAAGTTTAGCATGTATATTTTTGCAGTACTTCTCCAGCCCCATAAAGTTGGTTGGGAGACGTCTGTGCAGCATTTTCAGATCTCTCCAGAGATGTTCAATAAGATTCAAGTCTGGACTCTTGGCTTGGTCGCTCCAGGACATTTACAGAGTGGTTCTGAACCCGCTCCAGTGAGATCTTGGCCATGGACTTTGGGTCATTTTTCTGCTGAACTGTCGCCTCATCCTGAGGTCAGGATTGGTCTGGAGCAGCTTTTTATCCTGCACATAGCAGCGTTCATCTTTCCCTTTATCCTGATTAGTCTGCCAGTTCCTGCTGCTGCATGACATCACATCACCATGATGCCATGTTTCACCTCAGGGATGGTATTGACCTGGTGATGAGCCGTGTCTGGTTTCTTCCAAACATGACGCCTGGAATTCAAACCAGAGAGTTCTTGGTCACTAAAGCCCTTCTCCCCCGTTGATCCATTTAGACGGCTGGCCTGGTCTAGGAAGAGTCTACATGCTTCCAAACGTTATTTATTTACCAATGATGGAGGCCACTGACCTCACTGGGACATTTGAAGCAGCAGAAATATTTCTACCTCAAGACAGTCTCTCAGGTCGCCAGACAATTCCTTTGATTTCATGCTTGGTGAATGACCTCTGACCTGAACTGTCAATTTTATATAGACAGGTGTGTGTGTGTCCTTTCAAATTGAGTCCAATCAACTAAATTTAAAACAGGTGGACTCGATTTAGCCAGTAGAAACATCTCAAAGATGACCATTGGAAACAACTCAATTCTGAGATTCATTGCAAAGGGCTCTGGAGGTAAATGACTGAGTCCACTGAGGGCAGGAGCCAGGGAGGGTCAATAAAAAGACACACAAAAAGCCTTTCATGCGAGTAAAATTTTAGTTTTTCCAAGATCATGAAAACTTACTCCATAAATCCAAGCTTTATTTTTGCATTGTCAAGAAAAGCAAACCTTATCTGCCTGTCATGAAGTTTGTGAATGAATACATTATTTGTGCAAACGCTAACACAGCCCTATCCTGACTGACTTGTCATGTTTGCATGTGTCCAATTGTTCTATTTTTCTTAAAAATCAACAGCCACCTTGATCATTCATACCCATCAAGGGACCAGATGTCATAAAGTAGCAGCTCTCACAGGCTTGTTTTTATTTTGACAACAAGCTGAAACTCCTACGTGAACGAAGCACCAAATGAGAGAGTAATCTGAAATTGGTAATTCTGACAGCATTAGCATGTCTTTTGAAAATCTAAACCATATTTTGCCATCATCCTTGCTGAAAATGTGCTCTCATTCAGGCTAAAAAAACAGTTATTTTCATCACAACTGAAATGTTGTATGTCTTCCTCTTTTAGCAATCCCAGAGTACAAATAAGGTGAATCTTTGTCGATAAGGAGACGCAAAAGTAATTGGAGATGGCTGTTTTAACATGAGCAGATCAGTGGCAGCTGCAAAAGACGGGCAGCGGAACTTGTTACTGTTTAATTTAGCCAAATCAGATTTTCCTATCAATGTTCTGAGGATACTGGCAGAGCTGTGAATAAATAAGTCAGCTTTGTTAGGATTTGGACTTGCAGCCCAGAAGTCTTGTATTTCCTCAGTTCAACAAGACGAGGATAGTTTCTCAAATAAGGATCTAAATTTAAGTGGCATCCTGTCAGTGGTATTCAATGCTCTCACTCGTTTTAACGCAGTGGATAAGTGCTGAAGAACCTGTCCTCCAAGAACCACTCTGATCCCTAATTGATGTCTAAAATGAAGTAAGTGATTAAGATACTGATTAAAAATAAATTATGTAAATTGAACCAAAAAAGTTCCTCCAGTAACACATTTTCCTAGTTTACCTTTATTTCACTGCTTCAATTTCTCAGCCTGCTGTATTCTTTTACATATTTACTTTATTGTAATTTCAGGAAAACATCAGACCAAATCTTCCTCATTCCTGAACAATGAACAACAATGTAGGTGGAAATCAGATTTTCCATCAAATTCTATGCGGCCACATTATTTCCATTTTGAAAAAAAAAAAAAAAAAAGATCGATTTGCAAATGACTGAGTGAAGAGAGCTTAACTCGTATAGTAACCAGGCATTAAAATGACAATCAGCTCAAAATTTACATTTAAAACAGCACAGTTCAAATTATATGTCTACTCATATCATCATCATACCTGCAATCATGTCATCCACTGAGCTCATTTTGAGCAGCACCTGTTGGATGAGCCCCACTTCAGTGCTCGTCTGCAGATTTCGAACACTTTTTCGAAGAATGGCAGTGAACATGCTCCAGATCTCAGCCTGGCAGGTGACATCGCAGTGTTCCAGCAGCTCCACCATGCAGCCGATGCTCTCAGCGTCCTGAATAATGAAGTTTGTCTCCAGGTCAAACTCTCCCCCCACCAACTACAAGAGAGAGAAACAGAAAATGTCCCAGTAGAAAGCATTTTTATTATAGAAGCCACAAGCAGGTTTTTGATTTATATTCCGTCACGCTTATGTAATGCTCGGCATGAATGCAATTTGAATTGTAATGAACTTAAGATATATTTTTGTTTGATCCAGCTATAAGCCATCTTGACCTGGATCTTCCTAACAGAATACAATTAACTAATAGCATACTTCTGCCTTGCATGTTTCAGATCACTGCTCTGATGGTAAATAGCTCTCAACAGATGCAAGTGAGGTTTATCTTCCTACACACTGATTATAATGAGAATTTAAGCATCCATGACAATAAAACTGTCTGGTTTTTAATGAAAAGGCGGGAAATAGACACATTATTGCTTCCCCACCACCACGACCACCACCACCAATTTAAATTACAAATGAAAATCACTTTAAAGAAAGTAGAAAACAACAATCAATAGTGCTCTTCTTCAAGACCAAAAAGCATGAAATTAGCTCTCTAAAGAAGTGCACTGTGTACATGAAAGCATACCGAAAACAACTCGCTGGTGGGCATCAAAGCAAAGAGGCAGCAAATGGCCCTGGAACCACTGCACCCACTGCACATTACTGTGACTGACAGGTAATAGTAAGGTGAAAGCAAAGAGCAGAGAGAAATACTCAGAGGAGACTAGTCCACTGCAGGAAAAACTGTGCTTCGCCTCAACTTTGTCATGAGATCTTGATGTTGATGCCATAGAGTGGAGATAGTCAAGCACTTAGTTTCGTTCATCGTCTCTTCTGCTCCTAAATCTGCAGCTGCTGTTATTACAAGTCATCTTTGAAGCTCTCAATGTCATTTAGTAGGACTGTTTGCCATAAAGCTCAATCTACTTCTGATGCCGTGTATGCAGATAATTGCAGTATCAAAAATTTTAATGACAAATACTTTAAATACACAGATTTATCTTTTCTAAAATCTTCAAAAGAAAGCTAAAATACATGCAATTCTTGACACACCATTGGTTTCCATTTGCAAAGCAGCCAATGTGGGAGCATCATTTATTTTCCAGATGATACACAGCTCTACATTACAATGTCACCAGGTAGATACAAACCCATTCAGGGATTTACCAGATGTATGGAGCAAATCAGTGCATGGATTTGTAACTTTCTTCAGCTGAATCAGAACAAAACTAAAATTATTACTTTTGGACCAAAAGAGGAATGATCAAGAGCCAGCACACAGCATCAGCTTTTGCTGGTCAGACCTCAAATCTGGGTGTAGTGATGAACTTGAGCTGAATCTTCAGAGAAGTATAAAGACAATTATAAAGTCGGCCTTCTCTCGCCTAAAGAACATTTCCAGAATCAAAGCACTAATGTGCCAACACCACCTTCAGAAACTCGTTCATGTGTTTGTCTTTAGTCGAACTGATTATTGCAACAGTCTTCACAGAGCTTCCAAAAAAAGTGAATCTGACAGCTGCAGCTGATCCACAACTCACTGCTTCAGATGTTACAAAATCTAGGAAAATGGAGCACATCACCCCATTTCTAAAGTTCTTACACAGGCTCTAAATACTTTTCTTAGATAATAAATTGTTGAATGTCTTGTCACCAAAATGCGCTCAGGATCTTTTATCCACCTTAAAAGTGGCCATGTGTGCATTTGAGTCTCTTTGACATTGAGGCTACAGCACGCCACCACTGATTTCACCACTGGGTTTGCTTTGTTAAAATTGCAGTTTTCTTCTAAAAGAATGTTAGTGTGAGAAAATAAACTATTTTGAGCAATTAATTAAATTACATATGTGCATTCTGCATCTCTATCATTTCATATTTCCAATTATCTCTACAATCAGTGGAACTCAGTATTGATTAATTATGCCTTCGAGCATCTTCACAACATTTTCAGAAAAAAAAAAATGCTTCTGTGGAGCATTTGTAGCTCCGCATGTGCAGGCCTTGAGTTGGATCCATTTACATTGGCTTTTAAATTGCATTGTTTGAAGCACATAGTGACTCAATGCTACAGAAGGCTTTCTGTAAAGCAGCATTGTGGTGGTCTAATTGGAGGTGAAAGTATGCAGCATACAAAAGTATTAATACAAAGAAAAGCTTGCCTCATAGTGTACTCTCTGCATTGATTGAACATCGAGGCATGAATCAAGCTTTAGAGGTATTCTAATAGGGTTTTATTTTTCTTGTGTTTGTGTTCATTGTTCATTAAACTAAAGGTGCTCTGCTGCACGAAATACTGTGGGATTCATTTTACTGTTACAAGCACATTTAATTTGTAATCAATGTTTCATTTTTTCCTTTTTTTTGGTGCTTTAGTTGATTTTTTTTCTTTTTTTGCTAAGAAAATGTCATAAAATGTCCGTCTTGATCTGATGGGTTTCAAAAAGAGTCCTACTGCGTTTTAAAATCAGAGGTGATACTAGTAAGTTGCTAGGCAGCCTTTCTGCATGGTTTTTTGAATATGATCGGGAAAACATGGAGTCACAAGTGATAAACAATGCTGTATTAAGTTGTAAAGTCAAGTCAAGAATAAAAAAAAGGCATATTTGAACTGGATAATGAATTTATAAAAAGTTTCCTCAAATTTGTTACAACTGCTCTATGAATTGTTAAGAAAAGATGCATGTAATTCATGACTGGGCATAAGCTGAAAAATTCATAGATGACATTTTCCTCTACCCTAACCTGGCTGTGACCAGCTTTTCGCAAACGCAATAATTTAATCTTCTTCAGATCAGTGAATGCATCATACTTACGTGTTAAAGGGGTGTACAAACCCCAACACGATTTAGCATGTTATTTTCAGTACCAGCGAGGAGTCTAAAAATGAAGTCTGAGAAAGATACAAAACAGGTACAGTAAGCCATTTAAAAGGAAAACGGTATACCGTACAGATGCATGCAAGCAGTTCATTCAGGCTGCCATGACAGAGGTAGATTTGGGAACGTGCTTTGCCAAATCTTACATCACCAAGTGCAACACAAAGCATCAGTGGTATAAAGCATGCCGCTGCTGGATTCTATAGCAGTGGAGAGGTGTTCTTATCCACTTCTGGGTTTTTATCAGACTCTGGGTCTGGCAGTTGTCAGGACAACAGCTCTTTTCCGACTCCATTGTGTCAAGTGCAACAATAGACAAAGGAAAATTATGATGTGGAGCCATTTTCTTTTCTTTCAGGACAGGAGGAAAACTAACTAATGATTGGCCCCATAGTTTCAGGGAAAGATGCTCTTAAACAGGACTTATGCAAAATTCATTTTGCATATTCTTGTATTTTCACTTGGGCCTCTACTTCTAGAAACAATACAAATGCTTAAAAAAAACAAAACATCCATTTACTGGAAATAATATTTTTTGGTGTCTGGAAAACTAGCCTCCACAAAAATCTCCCCATTATTAAGTCACCATCAGTGGGCACTACCTCCTTACCCTAGCGACCTCAACCAAACGCAGCCTGTCACAGTTTTACCACTGAATGCACTGTGCAATGGCTGCTAGAATAAGCAAGTGTTTTGTTATTGACGTTTTCAGAAACCACTGATATTAAAACATGATAAAACATTTCCCAGTATTTACAAAAAGGCTAAAGAAAACCTCTGAAAAGCTTCACACTATTAAAATGCTACAAAAAGTTTTGCTTATGCTAAAAAGACAATTTACTTAACGGCTCCCTCTAAGTGTCAGAAACAAAACTTTTATAGCTTCTTAATAGACAAGCTTCTTTCTATCTCCATGGCACCAAAGTGGCATAATGTTCCATCAGAGCACTTATACACCAGAATACAGCCTTAAATGTGATTTTCATATTTTTCAGATGAACAAAGGCTTTGAGGTATGAAACTCTCTCTCTCTCTCTTAAAGATCAAGTTTTCACTTTGGGTTTTAAGAAAGCAGATATCCATCTTCATGGGTAGCTAAGGTAAAAAGAATCCTTCACTGAAACATATTTAAATTTTGTCAGAGCCCATTATTCATCTCAGTCAATACCATTTTACTAGAGCAAGGTTATTAAGTCTCAATTAAGTTTGTTTATTTCCCCCCAAGAAAGAGCACAATTATGTGTTATTGCCATGGGATAGTGAATTAAGAGCAGTCAAAAATCCCCCAACAATCAACCGCTTCTGATTAAGCCAGGGCTGAAGTCCTGCCGTTGGCATGGCGACCAGCCCCATAAACTGGACTTTTGTTTTCAAGACGAGGGCTACAGTGGCATCTAAATGTAATGAGAATGAATATGTTATATTCTATTTACAATTCTGAATATGTTGTATAAACATTAGAAAAAGGGAAAAACAAATCTCAATAGGAGGAAAACTCTTTGGGAAGATGTCTATTTAAACTCAAAGTGTCTGATTCATGTGATCCGCTAAACAGAAGCAGAAAATGTGCTGCACTTATGAGGGTAAAAGTCAATTACAGCTAATTCTACAACACGGCCATATAGAGTCTTACATAATGAATGCCTAGCAACTGGTTCAGAGACCTTTTAAAGACCAACATGATATTACAGTTTGATGCTAGAGACTAAAATACAGTGCCATTTTCTGTGTTTTGTTACATTACAATCTATTTCTTAAACATCTTAATTGTACATAATGCATCGGGACAATATATCTTAAGCTGGCGAAGTAAAACAAAACAAAACAAACAACAACAACAACAAAAAAAACCATTTCAATAAAAAACTGAAAATTGGCATGTGTATATACTATATATAAAGAGCCTCCCTGCTATGAAGCTTCTAAAAAACATCTGAAGCAAGTTAATACCGTTTGAACTCACATGCTTAGTAAAATTACGTCCACCAGCCAGATCTGTCATCATGCACACAACTTCTCTGGTTAGTGGTGGTGTTGCAGACTCTATGAGCTTCCAAATACCACCACGAAGACTGAGGGGACCTCCAGACAAAGTTGTTCAAAACTGCAAATCAGCATTTGGTTAGAAAAAAAATAAAAAATTGATGATCCACTGGAGCAAATAGAAATAACATG